TTAGTATTTATTAATATTAAATAGTTTTTGTTTTTATTTATTATAATAACTAATATTTATTCATGACTACTAATAATAAATAATAATTAATATCAACAAGGATCATAATTGAAAGAGAGCGTCAAAAAATTTCTCACAAGTTACTTGAACCAACGTTTCAATAAGATAGCTAATGTCCATCCAAACGTGTACCCAAAAAATAAGCTAGCTTATGTTTGCCAAACAATTCTTTAGAACACTTATGACCAAAACAATACCTGTTGGTTTTAGGGGCCATTTATCATATCATATATTCCATTACCAGTTGTAACTTTTATTTTATTCCAATAAAATTTTTAGATTTTTTAAAAAAATTACACTTATTTTTATTTATCCATTATAAAATTCTACATCCCACTACTTCGAAATACATCTAAAGATTAAGTTTTTTTAATTTGTTTGTTTACTTCTTAATAGTTTCATTAAAAGACAACATCTGAAATTTTAAGAGGTGAATCTTGTTTGGCAAAAAAAATATGTCTCTTAATCGTTCTAAAACCCTCTGAATAATTTTGTATCTTATAATTTCTTTAACCATTCAATGCCATAATTTAATTGTAAACAATTACCAAATAAATTATATTTCATTTTGCATTATGTCATGAGAGTCTCTTAATCATTCTGACCATTTAATCATTCTGTATCAGACTATTCAGTAACTATCAAACAACCTATAAATACATATGATCATAAAACGATGGTTATGGACTATTTGGATTGTTTGAGAGCTCAAAATGATAACTTTGATATTTGTGGACTATAATTGCTCAAGTTGATATCTTAAGGGCTTAAAATGTTAATTCTTCATCGATTTAAGCCATGTAGAAGCTTCTCGAGAACAGGCTCTCGAAAATAAAACCCCAAACAGTGTTTATTGAAAGCCCCCCCTTCAAATTGGTGCGTGAAATCAATAAGTTTATTCACGGCGATTTAGAGCACGGATTTAGGTCGATCGTTTTTTAAAGGTATGATTTTAAACCTCACGCTCTATATTGCATAGTTTGAAATCTTTGTTTCAGTTGTACGGATTGAAAGGTTTCTGTTTGGTAATTGGTATAGATCATGACGCATGGGTATTGATTCGAATGTCTTCTTCTGATTCTCATTTTATTTAAGCGTATTCTGATGAAATTCTGCTTGAAAATTTACGATTCCTTAATTTTTTTATTAGTTGATCGTTATAGATCGTTACCTCATAGTCATTGTTTGGGATGCTCGAATCTTTTCATGTTTATTATTGATGGTTTGGTTATTGGATAAATTGCGTTGTAATCTATCTGTTTATCGATGCCTTCGTTGTTGAGTTCCCTTTGCTACATGCCTCAAATTGCGATTCTTATGATCAGTTATGATTTATGTTCATGTTTTGAGGATATTGATTTTACCGTTTATGTTATAATTAGACGGTGAACTTGATGCTAGTGTTAAGGATGATTTGCCATAATTTTGAAATTAATTTGAATCCCATGGTGATAACTGTATGCCAATGAATGCTATTTTAAATGAGGAAAGATTAATGAATTATTAAGATTTTACAAACCAGCTAATACATCTGCAAATCTGACTCGGTAAGGATTGTGATGTAGCTGACTAGCTGGTTAGGGTTATCATGTATTTTACTTAAATGGCCTTCACTTCATATGCAGGTTGAAAAATGAGAGGCAGAAGTTACAGCTACAGCCCTTCACCACCAAGATACCGTAGCAGAAGCTATCGAAGTCCTAGCCCAAGGGGTCGACATGGGGGTCGTGCTAGAGATCTTCCTACCAGCCTCTTGGTTCGCAATCTTCGCCATGGTTGCAGGTTTGTTTCTTATTTTCAGGGATTATCAGCTTAAGAGTTGGATTGAAAAAGTGCAGGTTGAAGATATATTAGAACTCATTTAAACATGTTTTCTCCATCTCACAATTTCTTGGTTATATGATTATATCATATCTACTAGTTAAAATAACCAATTGTTCTGGAGTTCTTGTGTTTGCTGGTTTGTGATACAATCTTTTACTGATTAAAGATCTGGCTATCGTGTACTAAATAAAACTTTGGGGGTTTAATAAGCAGAATGCCATTGCCAATTACTAGACTAGGTTTCACTCCTAATGGCAAGTATCGTACTTGGAAAGAAATTGTCAACACCATGTTACTGTGAAGTACAATAATCTTCATATGTAGCTCTTCAGTGATCCAGGGTGGAAGCTTGGAAAGGAGAAGTCTCCCTCTCTACTATCTTCATTCTATTGTGCTCTCCTGATTAAACATATAAATGTTTGTTGGACATTCCAATCACAAATTTGTTTCTGTTTGCAGGCCAGAAGATCTCCGTGGACCATTTCGAGAGTTTGGCCCGCTGAAGGATGTTTACTTACCGCGGGACTATCATACTGGGTGAGCAACTGGCCTTAGATGTCTAGAAAAGTGATAGATTTTTTCCGTCTTTCTTAAACTAAAGATTACATAATCAAAACAGTTGGAACATTTAGCAGTTCCTTCTGGGCTCACTCTCTCATAACACATACTGCACACACTGACACAGCTGTCATTCAATTGTATGGTGGTGGGTCTTATTTATAAACTTATATGCTCATTTTTATGGGCATTGGTTTGTTTACTGTAAGTGTTGAAGACACCATTGAAGTAAAAAAGAGTTCTGTCAAGATGATTTTATGTACATGAAGATTGAAGGAAGTTGGTTATGTTACATAGTGAAGAAGTTCAAGTGTTGAAGAACTTTACATAATAACCTTGACTACACAAGGTTAGCAGCTGTATTTGTTTCATTTCTTTGGAGCCAAACTTTCCTGACAATTTTTGTATTTTCGAATTTCCCTTCTCTTTTAAGTCTTTCTTTCTGAGTTTTTATTTATTTATTTTTATATGTGGCATGTGGAAGAGACTGGGGACATTATAGTATTTGGAAAACTAAAGAGACATGCTATTTTTATGTGCATATGCTGGCTTTAATACCACACACATGCGCGTGTGTGTATATATATGTAGGTACATGTGCGTGTCCATGGGATAGTCACTTTTAACATGTTTTTTCTGCAGAGAGCTGCGTGGTTTCGGTTTTGTTCAATATCTTGATCCTGATGATGCTGCCGAGGCCAAATATCAGATGGATGGTCAAATTCTTCTTGGTAGAGAGCTGACAGTCGTGTTTGCGGAGGAAAACAGGAAGAAGCCTTCAGAAATGAGAGCAAGAGAAAGTTTTCGGTAAGTTTTGCGATTTTTCTGTGCTACCATTCAATGATTTTCTGTTGCATAAGATGAAAAGTTATGCAGTGTTCTGTTACAGAACCCTTGATGTCTTGCTATCATGACAGGGGACACTCATATGATCGTAGAGGATCATCTTCCATGCGTTACTCTCGTTCACCCCGCCGTGGAAGATCATACGATCGCAGTCCAAGTTACTATTCTCCTTCTCCTAGGCGGGGCCGCTACTCTAGGTATGTATGCATCCATATATTTATGACTTATTTATAGTTGAGAATGATGGTGGGTTGTTGTAACCGTGTGTGGTTAAATATGGAACAGGTCAATTTCACCGGAAGAGCGAAGGTACAGAGAGAGAATGAGAGAAAGGTCTTATTCGAGGAGTTCGTATGGATCCATGAGTAGGAGCCGTAGCCCAGTCAGGAGCAGCCGGAGTCCAGAACGTTATTAGGGAACTTTCAGATAGTAATGTAAATTACTTTGTTCTTCTACAAGTTTAATTTGTTAGATCTAGAAGTTGGTTGTTATGATATTGAAACTAAGTTGTTCAATGCTTGATTGCTACTTCTTTTCCCCTAGTCTTTAGCCAAATCTAGAAGTTGGGTTGGTGCCTCTAGGACTAATCGAGACGTGTACAAGCTGGTTCGGAACCGTGTACTAGTTCGATAAATTTTTACCAAGTAGAATTTTTTCTTTTGAAGGGTATTTTGGAATATTAAAAACATAAGTAACCTTAATCAGATAAATTCTTCAAGTCTTTTGAATTTAACCATAAAAATAATTTTTTTTGAAAAAGTTCATCGATTTGTTTATTGATAAAGTCAAATGAGGTTGTTCAGTAGCCATCGCAGTTGTTAGCGCTTGACTGATATAATAGAAAGTTAAGAGTACGAATTGCATGGCTGGCACAATTCTGACTACTATAACCGTGCATGTTTTCAGAGAAGTGGCGATCCGAATCTTGTCTGAACCAAACAATCAAAAAGTATAAAAAAATTCATTGAAACAATGAAATTCATCGAAATACAAATCAGAAGACTTTGAAGGCTTTTAATCTATCTTAAAGATACATCGAAGTCTCGATCCAAATTGACTCCAGCAATTATAAAATCTTGCGTTACATCTTTTTAAAAAATAACGATAGGTTCGAATCTAAGGAGAAATAAAAATTCTCTTGTGGCCATGGAGGTTCAAATACGGTAACTCCGGCTACCGGCGAAGCGGGTGATTAGTTTGAGATTAATTGGCTAGAATAGCGAGTTGAATATCCAGGTTAATAAAAAAAAACTCATAATTTTCGTAAATAACACACCATATTAGGGGGATGTTTGAGATTGCTTATTTGAAACAACTTATATTTTTCCATAAAAGTGTTTATCAACTCATTATAAGTTAGAATAGTTTAATTTCTTCAAAAACTTCTTATTATCGGTTTGATACCGATATAAACTGTTTATCCAAATACTTAAAAGTTGATATCACCAAAATAAGTTAATAAATTATTTTTATAATCAATCTCAAAACACTTCTAAAACAATAAAACGCACAAAATTTAATTTTTTGAGCCATCACGGTGGTGGAGCAATATTGTTTTCTTTTAAGTTTCATTTTTATCCAATAGAACAACACACATCGATCAATAAAAATGTTGCCGTTACTTCGCTCCAGACGCCTTGCACACCGGTGTTTTCCACAATGCAAACTACTTCCGACCTCTTATTTCTCCTCCACCGCCGATACCCGCCGTGCCTCAAACCCCAGTCGAACATCACCGCCTCCGATCCAAGTCCTACTCACTGAATCAGCTGGTCGTGGTGTGTTCGCTACTCGGAATATAGAACATGGAGAACTCATCCACACTGCCAAACCCCTCGTCTCTCACCCTTCTCTCTCCTCAATTGACAAAGTATGTTACTTTTGCCTCAAGAATACTCCAAGGAGTTCGGGCATTGAGGCACAAAAAGAGTTGTTTTGCAGTGAAGAATGCAGGGAACAAGCAAAGGTATATACATGCACACAACCTGTTCGACATTGGGTCTCTGAGAGAAATGCTTGATTGTAAGCCGCTGATTTCTGCACACTAAATTTTTCAGAAAATGGTACATGATTGTAGAATAGAAATCTTAATTGATCGTTGATATGATACCACCCCCTCGTTGCAATTACAATTTTAAAAATCTCCACTTTCACTTTGGATGTCAATGTATATGGCTAGACACTTAGGGTCGATTTGGTTTGCAACATTGTTTTGAAGGAATTTGGGTTTCATGGAGGCATTTGGATTGGAGGAATTTAAAATAAATTGATGGTTTGTTTGGTTTGTAGGATTTGGAATTGAATTGGATTCCATTTTATATAAATAATTTATAAAAAATTTATAAAAAATTATAAAAATAATTAAATTACTTTTTTATTAATCGATTATTACAAAACAAATATTTTAACATTTTTTAAAACCTTAATGCATACGAAATCCTGTCAAATCCCGAGGACCTCCTAAGGATTTCAAAATCGTATGTTTGTAATATTTGAATTAAATTCTAGGATTTCAAATCCGGACAATCCAACAAATCAAACATGATATTGGAATGTATTTGAAATCCAATTCCCCAAATCCATATGCAAAAGTACCTTAGGATTTCGGTTAATCATGTAATGTAAGTTCAGATTACGATCTTACATGACTGTCAATTCAAGAAGAATTTGCAATCTTTATCTGAAATGACGAGGAAGAGTATCATTCAAACTCTTATTCGTTTTGCTGATTTTATAGGGATTCTATGAAGTTGAAAAGAAAGCTGATTGGTCAGCATTTGTTGCTTATTGTCGGTAGGGAGTTCCCTCATATATTCAGCTCTTTTTATCATATTTCAAAAAGTTGATTACCGCCAACCCCAAACTCCCCACACGTACCTTCCTCTAAGGACACCAATGTGAGATGCCATTTTTCTGGCTCACTCAGCAGCGGAGGCTGGAGGGCCTGGGATCGCAAGACAGTGTCTTGTATTTGGGAAAAGTCACCCGACTCCTTTGCCAAAGGAGCTATTTTTATCATATTAGCTAAACTCATGTGTATCTTTGGCTTCCATTCTATATTTGGATTTATCACGCTGTGTTTTCTCTATGCATATCATTTGTTAAAGAACCCGAGCTTTAAAATATCCACTTCTTGCCAAACGGCTGGCCTGCATGGTAATTTCCGGTATGGCTTCTGCTGACAGTATGGACGTACTTCAGCCTGCGCTTTTATCTGCTGAAATGATCTCACTGGTAAGCCTTAAATCTTAATACAAAGAGTACTCCTAGATCACATGTTCGAGATACTACAAAGATTTAAATACATAGCTCCTGTGTCTCTATATCTGTTTGGAACAATGTTGAAAGATTTGCTATTTTGAACAAGTTTCAAGTAGCCATACGTATATATTAAAGTATATAATATATATATGTATATATATATACTGCAAAACTCACACACACTCCTCACCTTTGGTGTGGCTTGAACCCTTGACCTCTACAGAGGCCGAGTTTTACTAGTAACTCGAATACCACTTGGCCATTGACCTTTTTGGTAAGTGGCCATATTTTCCTACGCATATTTTGCGCTTTGCTGCTGTATTCCCAATACTGAGGATTATTTGCTGACGTGGACTTAAATTATGACATTTCCCAGATGGAAGAGGAGCTTGATTTGTTGAGAGCTGCCTTAAAGGATGCAGCCATGACAGACGAACAGCTGACATGTAATTTCCCTTCACAATGATTGTTAATGCTAAAATTCAGTTAAATGATCATCTGTTTGAAATTAGAGCTAAATAATAGAAAGTCGGTTTGCAAGAACTTTGTTAATGATTTGGGTTTAACACTATGTTCGTTATTATTACTGAATGACTTTGAATAATGGGCTATCTAGTTTTAACCATCGGATGGTATGCTGGAGTACTTGCACGGATTCGTATCAATGCCTTCCGTATTGAACTGGCTGGAGGTTCTTATGAAGATCTACTTGCATTAGCAGCTGCATCAGTAGAATCAGAAGCTGCTGTTGGCAATGCTGTCTATATGCTTCCATCCTTCTATAATCATGACTGTGGTAACAACTTAATGTTCTCTTGTCCACTTAGGGTGCGTTTGGTACGCAGACAGGACTGGACTTTCATGTCATGTCCCACCCTGTTCAACGTACCAAACGCACCCTTAGGGTGCGTTTGGTACTCGGGATAGGATAGGACATGATAGAACAAGAACTTGTCAACATTAGACCGGAACAAGACATGAACAAAATTGGGAAATTACTAAACTGCCCATGTCAAATTAAACCCCTTAAACCTTGCACAATTCTTTCACATGCCTACCTCACTCTCGTCCATTTAGTCCCATTTGCTTACCAAACGCGCACTTAGTGCCTACTGTTCTTTTCTACAACTTCTTAGAAACTTTGATACATATCTAACATAATTGCTTAATTTTCTTTACTACAGATCCCAATACACACATAGTTTGGGTGGAAAATGTGGATGCAACATTAAAAGCACTAAGAGACATTAAAGCAGGTCAATCTTTTTCGCATTCTTGCTTCTAATTTGAAATTGGCCACCCATGTTGATTCTGACTCGGTGACTCGGTGACTCGGTTAGCCGGTCGTTTGTGCATTTGTGATTCAGAGTCCGTATTAAATCCATTTAGTTCATCCTGATAGTTTTGCTACGACAGGTGAAGAGCTGCGGATATGTTACATTGATGCAAGCATGGGTCGTGATGCTCGACAAAATCTTTTGTCCAATGGATTCGGTTTTGAGTGTCGGTGCTCTCGTTGCATGTCAAACGATTGATAAGGTCCAACGCTGGACAAATTCGGTTTTTTTTTTCATTGGATGGAAAATTAGCATCAAACTTTTTAGTGAAATATGTATTTGTTTCGAATTTATTAGAAAGTAATAAGTTGGACCTCAGAAATCAAAATATGTCTTTCCTCTTTGGAATGAGGGGGTATGAATTAGGGGTTGTTTGTTTACCTCTTAATAGTTCCATTAAGAGGTAGTCTATGATTCACCTAAGAGATGAATTTTGTTTAGTAAAAAAAAGTCTTGTCTCTTAATAGTTCTAAAACCCTCTAAACGATATATTCATTTGCGTGCACTTTGGATAGTAACAGGCTCACTGTCATTGATACGTCATTCTCATGTGAACTTTTGTTTCAGGTCTAAAATTTGAATACAGAAAATTCGTTTTCAAACGTTTATTTATAATTTAACCCGTAGATGTACAAAAAAATTATTCACGAGGATCCTATCGAATGCAATTCTCATTTTTAACCAAAAAATAAGAGTAAATTATGATTTTCGTCCCTATGATACGTTAATAATTTCGGATTTCTTTTCTATGGTTTAGAAATTGTGATTTTTATCCCTACGGCTTGCAATTTTATTGTTATTTTCGTTCTTGGACTAATTCCTACCTTTAAATATAAGGGACTAAAACAGTAAAGAATTGTAAACCATAAGGTTCGAAACAACAATAAAATATAAATTATAAGAATAAAAATAGCAATGAATTATAAACTATAGGAATAAAAACTGTAATTTCTAAATCATAAGGATGAAAATCAAAATTTTAAAAAAACCATAGGGACAAAAAAGGTACTCAAAAATTAATAAAAGTTTTATGGACTTGTTTTGTAATTTGAAGAAAGTTATGGACTTATAATTACAAATTTACAATGTTAGAGCAATTATAATTGGATTTGGGTATATATTGTAATCTGAAGAAGGTTATCGACTTATAGTACAGAAGCTACTCTTAAGTAATTTACTTTTTAGTCCCTTAACTCTGATGTCTATAAAAAACATATCCCTCGGAATTGAATTTTGTAAAATTTTGTTCATCCACTCTTATAGGAGTGCTCAAAATACCGACCAACCCAACACGAAAAAACTCAAAAAAAAAAAAAATAACTCAACCTGAGCTAATATAACACATAATTGATACAAAATTAAACCAACCCGCATCTATTGGGCTGAATTTGGATTAGAATATTTAACTCAATCCGATGAATATGATGCATTTTTATACTATAGATTTAATATGATTTTTAAAATCCTTTAATTAATATATTTATAGAGGTGAGTTAATATGCAACATTTTATATTTGTACAACCAATACAACTCAATCTCAACCGCCTATTTAATTTGATGAATATGTGATTTCATAAAAGTTTAGATTGTTTCATAATATAAAATATTGATTATAATTAATGAACCATAACCATTTCTATATATATCTCAATTGATTGAATTGCATTGATTGTACAAATATAATGGATTACATTTGAAACTTACTTTCTCTCTCTCTCTCTCTCTCTATATATATATTAATCCATAATTAACTATATTCAAAATTATATTATAATATCAACTTTAATTTTATTTTCTTATTTATATAAACCTTTTAACTAGTCTTTTTTGTATGTTATCGTTTTTATTTTACTTCGTTTAAATAAAATCACTTAACTAAATAATAAAATGATATAACAAAGTTTCAACCAACAACATAACCAACATGTATAACATGTATAGTTTGAGTTGAGTTGTAGTTTTTCATGGATTGAGGTTTTTCAAACGAAAAGATTTGAGTTCAAACCGTCAACACAACCCATGTTCACCCAACCCTCTTGTTGGACACAAATTGTTGCTAGAAACGTATTTGATTGGTTTAATTGCTAATCACGTCTTGTCTTGTGATTGACAATTTCTGTGATTTTGATTTTGTTGTAATCGGGATTTCGAGATCTGCCAACGGCAACGACAACGACAACCACCATGAGGGTGGCGGGACAATCACCACCACCACCACCATTGTCTTCGTCTCCAAAACAACAACCACCCTTTCTAACTGCAAAAGATGCGGAGTCTCTCTTCCGTACCAAAACAATATCAGAAATCCGAAATGTCGAATCCGCAACCCGAAAACAGATTCAAGAGAAGAGCGAGGAGCTCCGGCAGCTCGTTGGTAACCGCTACCGCGACCTCATTGATTCTGCCGATTCAATTGTCAACATGAAGTCGTCTTCTCACTCGATCTCTGCCAATATTGCAGCCATTCATCACGGTATCCTCCATTCCTTATCATCTACGACAATTAGTCTTAATTCTGTATCTTCGAACCCCGCCAGGGCTCGTAATTACGGCATTGCATGCCGGATTAAGTATTTAGTTGATACTCCGGAGAACATTTGGGGCTGCCTCGACGAATCGATGTTTCTCGATGCAGCTGCGCGCTACACGCGGGCCAGATTAGTTCATCACAGTTTAACAAGCAATGAAAATAGCAAAAGTGTTTTATGGAAATTTCCTCTATTACAGCATCAATGGCAGGTTGTTGAGAGCTTCAAAACACAAATCTCTCAGCGTAGTCGTGATAGATTGTTATTGGATCAATCTCTGGGGCTTAGAATCTCTGATTATGCTGATGCTCTTGCTGCTGTTTCGGTCATTGATGATCTTGACCCGTCTAAAGTTTTGAGGCTTTTTCTTGATTCAAGAAAATCTTGTGTTTCTCAGAAGCTAGGTAGTTGTAAGGTGGCTAGTGAGGATGTCATAGCGGTGTTTTGTGAAGTGTTGAAGGTGATTCAGGTTAGTGTAGCACAAGTAGGAGAGTTATTCATGCAGGTTTTGAGTGATATGCCTTTGTTCTATAAAACAGTTTTGGGTTCGCCTCCAACTTCTCAGTTGTTTGGTGGAATTCCGAATCCAGATGAAGAAGCAACGTTGTGGAAGGGTTTTAGGGATAAGTTGGAGTCTTTGATGGTAATGCTGGATCGTGATTCTATTGCCAATGCTTGTTCAGATTGGTTGAGGAGTTGTGGGGAGGAGATTGTTAACAGGGTCAAAGGGAGGTTATTGATTGATGCAATTGATAGTGGGCAACAGCTCTCTGCAGCTGAGAAGCTGATTAGAGAGACGATGGATGGGAAGGAAGTATTAGAAGGGAGTTTAGAGTGGCTGAAGAGTGTCTTTGGTTCAGAGATTGAAATGCCATGGAGTAGAACCCGCGAACTCGTTTTGGGCAATGATGCTGATCTCTGGGACGAAATTTTTGAAGAGGTTTTTACAAGCAGGATGAAAGAAGTAATTGACTCTGGATATGATGCGATGTATCATGCCGTCAATGTGAAGGATTCAGTTCACACCATTATGGAGAGTCCAGGTGACCAGGTTGATTTCCAAAGCTACTTGAATAGAACCCATCTGGGTGGTGGGGTTTGGTTTATGCAACCAAGATGTAAAAAGATCAGCCCAGTGACAAATTCCAAAGTAACTCCTGATGACTCCAATTTTGATAGCTGTTTAGATGCTTACTTAGGGGATGAAGTTGGCCAGATTAGAAAGTTGGTGGACAGTCATTGCCAGAATGTACTCATGGACCTATTAAGATTCTTAGAGTCTCCGAAAGCCTCTTTGAGGTTGAAGCAACTAGCTCCATATTTACAGAGAAAGTGCTTTGGAAGCATGTCAGCCATATTAGCAGAACTCAAAAGCGAAATGGAACACTTATATGCTGCCTTGGGACATGGTGATAAGGATGGTGATTCTGCAGCACCTCCTGCTATAGTTGTCCAGACATCACTTTTCGTTGGAAAACTCTTGTTTGCTTTCCAGAAGTACTCTAGACACATTCTAGTGATACTTGGTTCTCCTAGATTGTGGGTGAATGAAATCTTAGCAGCACACTCAGGTAAGACACCGCCACTTTTGAGGTATTCTCGAGCACTTGTCAATTTTCCTCTTGAAAGCACTGGGAAGAAAATGCTTGATTCATCTAGAAGGCAAGCTCCTCTTGCTGCTTCTGCATTATTTGGAGTTGAGGATAGTTCAAGCCCACAACTTGAAGAGCTTAGAAAAACAACTCAAGATCTTTGTATTAGAGCCCATAACTTGTGGGTAATTTGGTTTTCTGATGAACTTTCAGCTATCCTCTCTCACAATCTCAGAAATGATGATTGTTTATCAGCGACCATGCCCTTGAAAGTAAGTGACGGTCAGTAGTTGCTGTTTGTTGGGTTATATCCAAACTCCATTTTCATCATTTAGTTAGACATTAGTTTTAAACGACTTCATCTCTTAAGTCTATACCAACATATAATTTTAGCACAGGATTTAAGATTTGAGGATTGTGCACTTGAACTTACTTTAACATATTTTGGAATTATTTCTATAGAAGTTTAAGCACAATGCATGCCTAACCGTTCATATCTACATTCCATGCAGAAACTAATATATATATATATATATATATATATATTACTATGCTTAGAAATTACACGGCTGTCTTAGTTTTGAACGTAGAGACATAGAGACTGTTTAGGCATATAGACTTATAAATACACGGTAACTGAATTCTGATTTTTTAGAAACTTGATAACTTTGTTTTGGAATCACCAAAAGAAAACTTGGAATCTCAAACTGGAACAAGGAACACACACAAATGTGCAAATAGAACAATGTGCTTGAAGTGTGGGGATTTCTTTGAGCAGTGTGTGTGCTTTTTTCGTTCTCTTCTATTTATCTAGCCTGCCTACACTCTTTCTGGCTTTGGCCTGACATGTAAAATACTTACATTGTTATTGTTTAACTATTTATTGAAGACAAAGGTTATATCTTCTTCTACATGATATACTGGTTGGTAGATCCTATCATATGTTTTAAGTTCCATCAACCTTACTTCTTTTCTTTCTTCTGGGAAGGGCTGGGAGCAGACAGTAGTCAAACAAGTGGACTCTGCTGATAGCCAGTCAGAGATGAAGATCTTGCTTCCTTTCATGCCTTCCCTGTATATCACCTCATATTTATTTCAAGCATGTGAAGAAATTCATCGGGTTGGGGGTCATGTAGTTGAGAAACCTATTCTGCAGATTTTTGCTGCAAGATTATTGGAAAAGGTATATTTGTCGCCTTGGTAATCTTGTCTTTCTCATATGCTCTGTGATTATGTTTCTTGACAGCAGTTTCAAGTAACCATGAGTTATTCATTGCTATCTTGTATGCTGATGCAGGTCATTGATGTTTATGTAGATTTTCTCTCTATTGAAGAGGCTAGTGCAACCCAGGTTTCCGAAAAAGGAATTCTGCAAATGTTATTGGATCTAAGATTTGCTGCTGACATTCTTGCCGGGTGTGATTTAAGTGGAAATGGGGGTATATCGAAAATGCCAAAGACCAAGATAGCATTCAGACGGAAGCTAGAGGTTCAAGAAACAAAGTCTGTTATCAGAGAACGTCTTGATGGGTTGGTAAATCGCCTCTCGCAGAAGCTAGACCCGATAGACTGGCTCACGTAAGCTTCGCTATTAGTCTTTAATCTTTTGAAGAGGATGTAATTTCAGTACTCTGTTTATTATATATATATATATATATAGAGAGAGAGAGAGAGAGAGAGAGGGAGGATCAAAAGAGAATGTAACTATTTAAGAGAATACGAAAACGACCAAATCACCTGCAAAATCACATGTGATTTTACATTAACAGTCAAAAAAGGGTGCGCTGGCGACTTTTGCTGCGTCTTGAGACAGCGGGGCAAAGTCGCGTAAATCACGTGATTTTGCACGTGATGTTAATGTAAAATCACATGTGATTCGACTGTTTCTTATTCTCTTAAAATAGGTGTCATTCTTGTTTGAACCGACTCTCTCTCTATATATGTGTATATATAGAGGGAAGGACGTTCAGGGGAAACCCCAAAAAATGAAAAACTGAGGAACACCCTAATAACCGTTCATCTAGACGGTATGTTTCCTGGTTTCTATGCACGTGTGCATGTTATGCACATGTGCATACTTGAAAAATTACTTATATGCACATGTGCATACCGTACAGATGAACGGTTACTAGAATGTTTCTCAAATTTTCATTTTTTTGCGATTTCCCCCTGAACCTGAACCTGACCCTATATATATATATAAGGAGAGAGAGAGATATTAGCCTTTTATATTGCAATTCTCAAATATGGTTCTATCATAATCTCTAATGAATTTTTATGTTTAGTTATGAGCCATGTCTTTGGGAGAACGAAAAACAGTCTTACCTACGGCACGCTGTTCTATTTGGTTACTTTGTGCAACTTCGACGGATGTACACAGCTACCACGCAGAAATTGCCAACAAATTCAGAATCAAATATTATGAGATGCTCCACAGTTCCTCGTTTCAAGTACCTTCCTATCAGGTTGATTTCACAATTCCTTGCAACAAGTATTTGTTTATTCAAGAAGTTTTTTAAATGCCATATTATTCAACATACTCACATTGCAAGAGAAATTTGCACAAGAAGATACCCGTCTCTAGAACATGGACAATTTGCCAAAACGAAACCTCCCACTGCTGAAGTATTTGTGTATGTTTTTCATTCTTTGATGATGGTTAGAAGATGAAGTCACTATTAGTTATCTTTCTTGTGGTTCCGATGTGTGGCCTCATGTTCCAAATAAATAGATCCTAGCTGTGCTCATGTCTAATTAACGAGTTAATCTAGGGGAACGACCAATGTTCCTCATGTTCCACGTGGAACCCGCCCGATAGGAACCATATGTAAGGAGGCTTTTCAGAGCTTACTCAGCGACTGAGGCTAGTGGAGGGGTTCAAGCCCATCTCTCACAGGATTCGAATTTGAACCTGTTGTATATTTGAGCAAATTCTCCACCCTTTTTCCAATTGAGCTACACGCCGGAGGGCGGGAAGAACCAATATTACCACAAAACTTACCATTTTTTCCTTCTTTGAAGAGAGCTAGTGTAACTATGAGTATGTATTTCCACTTGCAAATGGGTAAACGATATCGTGTTATTTGTCCAGTGCGCCTGTATTGTCTGCAAAAGGGATAAGTAAAACCTCTACTCCATCATCTATGGATGATGTATCTTCAAGAAATAAGTGGAGAAGTTATACGAAGGACGAGCTCTCTCGCAATCTTGATATGGATGACGGTTCAAGTTTTGGGGTGGCAACACCTTTCCTTAAGTCTTTCATGCAGGTCAGATTTCTTCATTTCGATTATTAACCCTTCTATATCAACCATTGTGCTTTTAACCTTCAAAACGGTCGTGATTTGGCATTTTTTTGTATAAAACTGGACATGTAGTTTTGGATAAAAATGTTTATATGTTTGTCAAACGTACAAGATCATTTTCAATAGGGAAATTGACTCATATAGCCATTCTACTCGTTTAAATTGGTCTCCTAACCATTTTTCTCCCGGGTTTACCCTAATGTCACTACGTCCGCAATATCCACATCCGCAATATCCACATCCGCAATATTCACCCAAACGTCACTACGTCCACAATATTACAGACTTGGCTAAAAGACAAAAAAAATTCAAATTCAACCAGGTTAGCAAGTGGCACCATCGCAATTGCGGATCTGGCCGTCGCAATTGCGTACTTGGGTTGAATCTGATAATTTTTCCTGTCTTTTAGCCAGATCCGGAATATTACGAACGTAATGACATTTGTGTAAACCCAGGAGAGGAATGGCTAGAGACCAATTTGAATGGGTGGAATGACCATTTGAGTCCATTTCCCATTTCAATAATAACAAGATAGGGTTATCTTTTTAATTATTGCCACTTTCTAAAAGGCCCACTGCAGCAGCCGCCATGGTACACCATGGTTTAAGACTTGTGTCTCGCGCCATGTTAAAACTATGGCATGCCATGGCCTAATGTGTTGTTCTTTTAATTTGATTTTTCTTACCTTCTTGATGTCTTATTTATTAGTTTTTGATATTCAATCTAATTTAAATTAGTTATTATCATTGACTCGTAGAATAATAGTAAAAAACATATGTTTATATATATATATATATATATATATATATTTTTTTTATATGATATAGAGATTTGGCACCATTAGAGCATTTCCAACAACGATGCTCTATTTTCTTTAAAATATAATATTAAAAGACAAAAATCTCTAAAAAAAATTGCATTCAGCTCCAACAGCTACTCTATTTTAGCAATTATAACATTAACAATATTATTAAAATATTCAATACATTTAGTAAAGTATTATATCTCTCCCCTAAAGTTTATTATAAATACATGTTATTGATTGGAAAATATTAAAATAATAATTTCTCTCTCTATTTAGAGATTTTTACTATCTCTCATGTTTTCTGTATTTTATCATACAAGATGACATAGCTGCTGGAGCAAAAAAAAATTGTTAAAATTCCTCTTTTCTCTATTTTAGCATATGTTTATTTTATAATATTATATATGATATAAAGGTTTGGTGCCATAAACCATGCCTTGAAAAATGTCATGTGAGGCTTGCTCTCGCCACTATATCATGTCTCATGCCATTTAGAACCTTGATTATTAGTTATGGGGTTACGGTTGATATGAGGATTTTGGCCAAGAAATTTTGTTTATTTGCTTCTTATACATGCCCTCGCCCCTTAGGCGTGTAGCTCAGTTAGCAAAGGGGCGGGGATACTTTTCAATACACAGTTTGACTTGATTTATCTCCAAATAGTGATTTTCTTTTTGTAATTATTTCAGGTTGGCAGCAAGTTTGGTGAGAGCCTCAAACTAGGATCCATGCTAACAGAGGGGCAAGTAGGCAGATTTGGTGACATTTTACCTGCTCAAGCTGCTGGGCTTCTTTCTTCATTCACAGCAAGCAGATCAGATCATTGATTCATTTTCTCCAAACTTAAAATACACTAATCATTTATAGAAAGTGGAACAAAGATCTTGATGATGAACATCCAAACAGGAAATGTGCACCGGGGGCGCAAAATATACGCCACTCTCTCTTATGAGAGAAGAAATGAAATGTCATTTCTGTACACAAGAATGCTTAAAAACTTGTCAGAAGGTGATTGATTTAAAAAACACGTGTCAGGAAGTCATTTAACTAAATAACTTGAGCAATCCTCGGCATCAATCACCATTGGGATTTGCGACACCAACGAGCATCATCTTGTCCCTCCAGAGACATGCATTTTTTCTGAGAATTAAAGTGCGCATCGTTTGTTGATGGGAATTGCAGGCTACGATTAGTTTGTTTGCCGATGTGAATTCTGAAAGAAGTACGAGGATTTAGAGGATCACACCAACTTAGAAGTATCGTTTTTTGTGGTTCTGTATAGAGAAAAGAGATAGATAGGGTGTGTAAAGGACTTTCGTCATTGTTGTGTTCTCGGATAAACGAATACGTAAACCTCCATTTTGGACATGGTTTTCTATATAATCTCAATTGTAGTTACTTGGACAACTGATTATGAAGAATTAAAGATGTATCTGTAGATTTATGTTTATACAAGTATATCATCTTGAAACCAATTGTGATGATATCTGTGTTGTCACAGACAAACCAAACCATACATTTCAAGAAATCTTTAACACCATACTACAAGTTCGGTTACAACTAGGGGCGGATTCAGGGGGGTTCTAGTGGGTACCTGTGTAACCACAAAATTTTCATATATACTTTAATGTTGTTCTAAGATTCTCAAGGTTGTTACAATTTTATTTGGTTGTGTGTTACGGTGCAACCACAAAAATATCCTCTATATCTGTTTCTGTTTACAAAACAAAATGCCACTAAAACAATCATATATTTAAAAAAAATGTTACTTAATATTTTACATTTAAAGTACTTGACATGTTTTTTAATGTAAATAAAAGGTCTTTCAATTTATACTTGTAGTTATTAAGGGGGCGTTTGGGATTGTTTATTTTAAACCATTTATGTTTTTCTATAAAAGTTCTTATTAACTTGTTAGAATGATTTAACTTTTTCAAAAACTTCTTATTACCGGTTTGGTACCGGTATAAACTGTTTATCAAAACACTCAAAAATGCTAATTACTAATAACACACCATAATAAATCAATAAATTATTTTTTATAAACAATTCAAAATCACCCCTAAATTAATAGTAGCATTTAGAAGAAAGTAGAGAGGGGAATATATATA